ASYMRGTAMTATCGTCATGTTGCCCAATGTACTGCTAAAATGATCACTTTAGGATTTCCATCTTTTTTTAGCAGGYAATATCGTCATGTTGCCCAATGTACTGCTAAAATGATCACTTTAGGATTTCCATCTTTTTTTAGCAGGYAATATCGTCATGTTGCCCAATGTACTGCTAAAATGATCACTTTAGGATTTCCATCTTTTTTTAGCAGGTAATATATTAGGTTGTTTGTCTCGTTATTGCAGTCGGCTGTAAATTGAATGGCGCCGTTTAGGTTCGAGTTCGGGTTTAATTATCATCAAAGCCTCAACCGATCATAAGATTTGGACTTATAATAATGTCAGTAATAATCGTGAAGACGGACTGAAAATCACCTGTTAACCCCCCCCCCCCTTCCCCCCCTTCCCCCCCTAAAAAAAAGTCAAAAATATAATTTAATTAAAATGAACCACAAATAATAGGGGGAAAAAGCAACATCGAAAACATTAGACCAACATTCAATATCGACATGCCATTCAAATCTACTCCCGCTTAGTTTGATTTCGAGTCTCGGGATTGTTAAGCTCGCCAACGTAGCGGTGAATTCGGTGGCAAGTACATTGTTTGAATTTAGAACTTGAGCAGTTTGAGCATGCACTTTGAATGTAGGAGTGTTGTGTGCTAAAATCTCTTAAGGTAGAGTTAGTGAGTGTGAGAGTATAGAGGACCACAAGTTCATCAGTTCTTTACTGGCACTTGTTTACCCCCTTAAATCAAAGTTGATTGATTGATTTGATTTGTAGTGTTTTCAGTAGTTTTGTACGATATTTTCTGCAGCATCGGAGTTTCGTGGTAAACGTTTTACACAAATTCAGTCTTCAAAAATAGTATTTCATTCAGTTGTGAAAAGATGCAAAAAGTCATTTTCACACAATATAGCACATTTTGTGGCTGAAAGATTCTAAAACAAAAGGCCGCGATATTTCTCTCGTGTCTCAGAAATCGATTTAAGCATGCGTAATGAATGCATCACTCAACTAGCGCCCACTTTCATCTTGGTCAGAGAGCGACGCGAGATAACATTGAACACAATTGCAACCCGCTAGAGCCGTATCACTCGAAACTGAACAATAAGTTGGACAAACTGGTATGCCAATTCTATTTGAAACTTTATGTATTCGCTCCTTGTAAATGACATTATAATTTCCCGAAGACGCCGTACTTAATATTACTCACTAATACTTTGCATATATTATTAATAATTTTTTTAATAATTAAGTAAGAATGTAAAAAATAACAATAATTCTCCTCGCGTTTCTTTGGATTTATGATAAAAATACTTTTACAATACATATGCTCAATCGTGACTTGGCAAAAGCGTCTTTTAAAATAACTCCTCGGACATGAGGAGGCAGTCACTGAAGTGGATAAGATTTTTGGCTTTTTTTAAATGCAGATTTATGAAGTCTTTCCCAAGCTTGAAAAAACACGCGGAGAAACAGAGGTCTTACTAGCGAGCAATTGACACCCTTTGGAAACAATATTTTCAGCTTTAATCTAATTACAGTCGTACAATACAATACTGTTTATTTGTGCACATTTATCAAAGAGTTTGATAAAGAATACAGTATAGTCTAGATCTATTTTACTAATAATAATAATAATTTTGACAGCTATGGTGACAACTTACATCTACCTGTTATTGACAAAATGCGTTTGTGGTTGTGAATTCAAGTAGCCGATGTTATTCTAATTATTTCAAAGGAAAAGAGAAAACTACCCAATTAAACAAAACGATTCAAAGGAGCGACAAAATATTTCATATATTAACGTCATAAATAACAGTTTAATGAATAAAATCATGATTTAGATGATGTAATTATGAGTATCAGGAAAACGTATATTTTTAGAAACCGTCAAGCATGGTTTTATACATGTTTTATACACTTGAGATGACTTGTAAATTGGTTTGGATGATGGTTTGAGCATCAAGCCCTCGTTCAGTTTGGTATCCCAAATAAAAAACATCAAGGTCTAAGTCAATAAAAAAAGTCTACAATAAAGATATTTATATGATATCTATCATTTGGGTATTTGTTTATAGCTTGTTAAGATAAGATACTTCAACATTAGGCAATTAACATAAATATATCTAATTACACAGAAGATGAATACGTGGCTACTCTACTAGAAGTTGGTCTTATTCAAACCACTTTTGTTTGGTTCATCGAAACGTCTAGAGGAGAGTTTCACAAGGCTTTTTATGCAACAGGTATATAGGATGACATATCAGTAGCGATTCATTAATAGCAGCCCATATCCCTGTAGTAGCCATTATTGTTTTTTTTGCATTTGTTTATAAAAGCTTTTCACCGTTGTTATTATAGACAATGATGTCTTGTGCAGTTTAACTATAAGCGCATGTCTTGCATGTGGTCGGCACGTGTACACAAACATTAGAAAAATAGACACTGCCCCGCCCTTTAGAAATAAACATAGATAGTTATTCTAAATTAGATCAGATCATTAAAATGCATGGTACCTGTTAAAGTTGCCAGTTGTAATATCGTATCTTTGGTGGTGATTTTGAAGACTGCCAATTAATCCCTTTTTCACTGGGCAATATAATAAGCCATCCAGAAACTGATACAAACACTTTGCTTTTAGCTTTAGCATGGAGAACACCACCCTCTACCACAACTCGAGTGCTTTTCTTAGATTCTGCTCCATGGACTCCCTCGGACAAAGGATTGCCAAACTCGTTGCACTTGGTATCCTGCTGGTTTTGTCCTTGGCAGGAAATAGTCTTGTTTGTGTTATAGTTTACAGACACTCAAGCATGAGGACCACCATCAATTATCTCCTTGTCAACATGAGTTTATCTGACTTTACCACCCCTATTTTGGTCCTCACGAAAAAGATAGTGGAAATTTCTACGAATAGCTTGGAGTGGAATGTTGGGGGAATTCTTGGTAGTTTTTTGTGCAAGACAGTGTACTATATCTCAGATATCTCTCCTATAGTCTCAGTCTTGAGTCTTTTGATGATCAGTTATGATCGCTTTGCGGCCATTGTTTTTCCTCTCAAAGCGGCTCGATACCCGTCCAAGTACCGGAAATACTTCATTGGTTTGACGTGGATCTTGGCCTGCATCCTCTGCTCGCCATATTTTTACTTTTTGAATATCAAGTCAGTAGACGGGAAGCAGTATTGTATGATGTTATGGGATAACAATACACGTCGTGCTTATACTGTACCGTTAACTGTTGTTTTTATCATAATACCTTTTCTTCTTCTTGTCGCCATGTACTCCTGCATTTTGTACAAAGTGAAAACACATCCAAAGAATTTAAGCCAGACTGAGAGAGGTAAACGCCGCAGCCAGGTATCAAAACGGAACACGACTATACTCTCATTTACAGTTGTATTTACATTTGCTGTTTGTTGGGGACCATACTTCGCTATTCTCATGCTGTCGAACTTTCAATGGAACTGGAAGCACGATTATTGTAGCCACGAGAATTTCATCTTCACTGTTCAGTTTCTGGCATACTCAAATGCCACCATCAACCCGTTATTGTACTTCCTATTTCTGAGGAACTTCAGAAATGGTCTCCACTCCCTCTGTAAGACTTCCTGTGCAGAACTTGAGAAGGGTCCAAAAGAGAATCGTGGTCGCAAAAGGTCTTCCATGACTCTGCTTAGTAAAGACAAGACGTCCCGTAATACATATGTCTGACTCATAATCAATTAAAAGGCAATTGAAACTTGTATGTTAAGTAATGCCCCGAGTAAGAACTAGAGAAGCAAACGGCAAAGGAATGCAAGAAGGTCTAATTGTGTATTGTATAATCCATCCATCCCATTGGTTAAAACATGAAAATCTGCTATAATTTTACAAGTTAGCGCAATTTCTAATATTTTATTGGATGTCTGTTTTCACTTTCATGAAAGATTTCTTTAGCTTCAATATTAAGGCAATTCTATGTGGGGTACATAGCAAATTAGAAGCATCTTTTGGCTGTTGTTTTGAGTGCTTATGATTGGATAAGAGACAAAAGAAACTTTGTTTCAAAATAGAGTTTATCCGCATCTTATTTCAAAAATGTGTTACCCATAGGTTGATATATAATCACTGTGAAAACCAAGACATTCATACGTGGGGAAGTTGCAATGCTGCAGAACAATAGAGAGTTCCCTAGTTCTTAAGCGCATTGTTAGACTACTTAAATGTACAACTTTGTTACTTTATAATTTATATCAGCAGGAGCACCAAGCACTTATATATAGATCTTATTAACTAACTAACCCTAAATGATTTTCGATACGATTTATTGCAGTCAGAATTAAAAAATTATATAATTGTATCGTTTTTCAAAGTGTATTGTAAGAATTATGGCGATTTTCGGAACGAAGGTGAGACTGTTCTATTTGAGCTTTAATTTTTTCCGCCTGCAGCCATATAAAATTCATGAAGATGAGAGGTCTTTAAGAGCCTGAATCCTCAAAGACTTGGTAGCCTTTATAGTACTTGTAAATAATACGATTATATTCTGCGATTTCATTCAAGAATGTTAAAACTTGTTTGATATTATAGAATCCTTATGTATGTCTGAATAAATTTGTTTTGCAAACTTCGGATGGTGTTTGTGATTTGTATTTAGTGTTTTTTCTTGAGCATATATCTTAAAAACTGGAAATTTCTCATTAAATTGACATCGAGAACATCAGTTTGCGAACTACATCATCTAAACAATATAGAATACAAACAAAGTAACTAAACATTGCGTTTTTGAAGCACACGCACAAAATACTCTGTGCGCACACTGCATAACAGCACTCCACATTCTTCACATTCATTACTAGAGGTGACACCCGAAACACGTGCTCTTTTTACCCCACCCGCCATTGCTAGAGCACGTTTAAACTCAGGTCAAAGCTTCCCGAAAAGAAATATTACATGTGTTTTTCTAGCTTTTATTACTGATAAAACAATACTTGAAGCCATATAAATATCTTTATGGCCTGAATGTCAAGTTTTCTTAAAATGTCGCTGTGATCTTGTTCGGCTTCACAAGAAACTGGCATATTTTGATAGCTTTCCGATATGTAATAAGTAAAATCTAAAAGTATGCCAAACTCACCGTCACGTTGTAAGTCACGTCCTTTGCATCATACTTAACAAAACTAAATGTTTATCTGACAAGTGATTATCAAAGTGTTAATTTCTCTATGTTATTGTAACACCATACAGCATTACAAGTGTTAATCTTTGCTCGATTACGAAAACCAATCAACAATCGACTTCATTACTTTACAGTTGTTTCAACAAAGGTTGTTACTATGGTATCAGATATCGATGGTAATATTCACCCATCAAAGGAAGTTAATACTTTGTTGGGATTAAATGAAGATCTTTGATGATGTCTTTTTTGGATTGTCCAAAATACTATGTGTAAATCTATCAGATAACAACATTAACTTTCGGTCGTGCAATCGACGTTTCGCGGCAACATTTTTTTAAATAGCTATTTATAATCCTAACATTATAAACAAGCAATTAATCAATTGCTATTATATTGAAATACATAAATATACGAAGAAAAAATTCAACAAATGTTTCTGGGAGTAAGAAGTTTATTTATTCCAGCTGTTGGCTTCAGGGCAGTTTTGCGGTTCTTCACAAACAGATGCAGGTACGTGGACTTTAGAACCGCAATGGCTGGACTCCAAAAATAGATTTTGTTTCGATTGTTTTTCGATTTTTTTCTGACTTTTTTGCATTGCCCAACGCCTCGGCTGCTGGCCCTCTGGATGCAAGAATTACACTACAAGGCTTGGTGACAGTCATCAACTGCTTTAAACTCGGCTGGGTAATCTACGCCCATCTCTTGTACATGCATTGTTCTTATCGAGAAAGTATTCAAAGTGCAGCACGGAAATCATTTCCGATATACGTACATAAAAGACTTAGAAATACCGCCTCAAATCCTCTTAGACTGAAATCTTTAGCATCAATCAGCAATCACGAACAGAAACTCAATATTGGTCCAAAACAAAAGCCGATATATTTACAAATTTAAACAAGTAGCTTTTTGAGAGATTGGTTATAAGAGCACAGCCGCAGTGTCCTTCATCTGTCCCTCAGCTTAAGAACACAATTACAAACGACAATGTTGACTGTATTGGCTTTCCAGCATCGCTTATATATTGCCTCATTATTGTAAGAGTCACTTGCGTGAGGCATGTACGTCAAGCGTCATGAACGTTCAGGTGTTTTAGCTATTTTTATTATAGCCTTTCAAATCATCAGCTCACTGACTTCAAGAAGACGATCCATCGTAATTACCAGTATTGGTATCAATCTTTATTAATCTGAAAACCGATATATTTGTATCATAGTATTTTGCTTAAAAAAAGTAAAAACATTTCGTAAAGGAGAAGGGATATCACTTTCTACTTACAGAAAGAGTAGTATTTAGCTAGTGTAAACTAGCTGTCATGAGACTAGCATATAGAACCGGTGACTCATTACTCGTTATTAAGAAAGGAAAAGCGAGAGCAGGTGGACCGTGTGTTCTTGATCTGCTTGGATTTTCTATGACTTATGTAAACTGGTTGACAAGTAGCCACAATGTGGTGTCGACGTGTTTGATTGGTTCCTTAATCTGTTTATTTCTAGAATAATCTTCAAAATATCGCTTTATTTTGCTAAAGAAAAAAAGTCAAGTACAACACAGAACTCCCGATACCATTATCAACTCCCAAATGGTTGCGAAACATTGTCTGAAAAATGAGTGTTTACGACTCGGCGTTGTCAAGATATCGCGCTGATAAATAGTACACTTGCTCTACAGTCCAAATAATACAGAAAAACCTTTTAACTTGTTTACCTAATATTGGTTTGCAGTACTCGGCTATATGGGTTACTTTCCCAGCCTCGATAACCCTGTATTTCTTGTTTCTTTTTCTTTTTGTATTCTATTTAGCCAGTAGCGAATAGGTCAGTTAAATTTAATTTTGATCTGTAGCGTTATCGTCGAGAACGTTTCGTTTTTCACGTTTGATTATTAGAACAAACAACAAACAAATGCTCCATTGAAATTTCATCCTTGATCACAAGCCCACTGACCGTCAAGCTGCATAATTTGACTTTATTTTATTCCAGTTTCTTTTGTCTGATTTGACTGACGGCTAAATATGAACAACTACTAATACATTCACTGACATTCTAGTGAGCCTGAAAACCTAATTACAATATGCAGGTAATGTACTAATGAAGTAAATTTCACGACTCATGAAATAGTCTAGTTTTTTTTTCGATTTGTACGATGATGTTACATGACATACAGAAGCTGAATTGTACTTCCAGAAAGTGCAGTAATGCTGTTTGGTTGCGGGATGCTCAAAATTACTCAACATTCTGCTCTAATATAATGCATTAGCAGAAAATGAGAAAATTGAATTAATCCAATAACTTCATCAACGAGTATAACGGTAATTTGACATCTGAACTGCACCGTTAATTGCCAAGCGTTTTCTTCAATTTGAATTCTTTTTTCATAGTGTCATTGAATAGCGGAATAATTTTGAATCAAAAACGGCTGGTATTGGCAGCTACTGGGTTAGTTTTACAAAGATGTTGACATCAATTGCTGTTCAAGCTGTAATTGGCCTCCTATGTCTGCTTCAGCACCACTGTTAGTCTGTCGAGTTGCCCATGTTTTTGACCTTCTTGAGCTAAGGCGATGTTGATATAGCTTACCACAGGACAATAGTTTCTGGATTGCTTGTCTGTAGTTTGCGCTTAAAATGAAATAAATCCACGGGTTTGTAGCCGTGTTTGACATCCCCATTAAGAACGCGAAGAATCTAAAGGGAAACATTTTGCAAGGTACGCGCCAGCCCCATACAGTCATCAGAAGCGCCCATAAGACGACGTTTGGTGCCCAACTTATAATAAACACTGACACTACAGCGATTGACAATTGTAGCACGTTGGATTTCACCTTTTCGTAGTGCCGGAACTGTCGCTTATCGCTTGAAGCATGCCCAGGAATTTTCCTGCGCTTGACGATGGTAAAGATGACGCCATAAAGGATAGTTATAACCCCTAGAGGAATAAAAATCAAAATGGTGACAAGAATCGCCATGTATTTGGTATGGTAATGCTGTGGGAATGGGCTCCAGTCAATTGCACATGACATACTACCATCCCGATTTGTTGCAACTGTTTGGAAGTGTAGATACGGAGCGTGCAGAAGCATGGCTATGACCCATGTCATGACAATGACAATTACTCTATGTCTTCCATGTGATGTCAATCTCATCTTGGTAGGAGTAACAACAGCAAGAAAGCGATCGATGGCAATAAGAACAATACACTCAATCGATACAGCAGTACATATATCTTGTATGAAAAACATAAGCTTACAAAGAACAACCCCCATTGTGTCTGCTATCAGCCATGTTCTGACGCGGTCAAACACTAAGTCAGTCACCAGTCTAGGGATGGAGCAAAATTGTACAATAATATCGGAGACGGCCATGTTTGCGGTAAAGTAATTAAATGAGCTCTTCATCCTCGGTGTCTTGTAAATAATATAGACCAAAAAGGAATTCCCAAAAATAGCAATAACACCGATCAAATTATAAAGTATTATAAACGCGATTTTGAACGGGACCGACTTGGCTCCAATCTCCTCGCAGTTACCACTGTGAAAGGTTGAGTTGCTTGAAATTGTAGAGTTGTTCATTTTCAAGATATGCCTGAACACTTTCGATGTTGAATATCTGTAGCAAAATCAAACTGAACTGAGTTTTAGTAATCTATTGCCAAATTTTAGCGGCTTTCTGTCGATTGGTGTCGGCGTGTCGCTCGAGGTCCAGTGAAAAACCAAACAACTGACGGCAAAAGATACCCAAGTAGAGTGTCTCCTGTCGCAACGAAGCTCAAGAGCAAATGCTTGAACTGTTTGGGAACTGAAAAACATTGAGGGCACTGTTCTAGTGCTGATGAAAATTGGCCATTTCATTTGAGCAACACATCAGAGTATGATTGTCGATCTATCAATCAAATGAAGAGAGCCATGCACCTGCCACACATTACCATAGGCTAGTCCTGGGATATAACACGATATACTACACCTACAAATAAAACATGAATCACATCGAAACTACGTGGGACTGCTATATATATAATGTTGCTATATTCCCACAAATTTAGAAGTAGAGTGATCGAGTAGGTGGAGATTCGCTTGATTGTAGTGGACAATGAACAATCAAAGATTTCCTGCCGAGTATTTCATTGATCAGCTTATATGAATTTTACTTGAGCAACTTGATTGTCTTATTTCATCATTTAATACCAAAATACTCTTGTTAGTAAGTGAAATCGTGTTACTTACATTACTCTTTGGAAATAATGAAGGTAACGATTGAAGACAGCAGCTGAACTCAGCTTGGCTTTAGAGGTGTTGACATTTTCTGACCAATTTTTACGGCAAAAGCAGGTCAAATCAGGACAGACTATCTTTCTTTTCACTGTTTACAGTTCCATGTTAATTATAATGAGAAGATTTTACGGTAAAAATTATCGATTGTTTTTTACGACCATTTAATCAGGTTTCGCTTGTTATGCGTACACCATCACCTTTGATAACAACAAAGAAACACCAGTCTCTCTACCTTTTTTTAGTATTATATTACATTTTGTTTGTTCAATTAAATCATATGTCGAAATACTATTTCAAAGAATAGAAAGTGTTTTCATCATTTCATGTTGTGGTTTCAATAACGATAACAATAAAAAGTTTACTCTTTAATGTTGGTACATGAATTATTTAAGATAATTATTATTAATGTTTATTATTAATAATATCATTCTCATGGAAATAATAAATTAGTGGTAGATACTTACAAAACGGTTTTAGGGAACCCTTATTAATGTTTCGAATTGAATCATAAAAACCTGATCCAGTGTTCTTTACATCGGAGAAAATGTGTTAACAAATAGTCAGGCCATATTTTTAGCCTCACGCCCCCCACATGGCTACATACATTTTTCGTCTCAAAAACGTGGTTTTGGAGAATTTTCTCAAAATAACAGTTATCTAGGCAAAAAACAGAAACGGCTACAGTTGAATCAACTATTCAGGGAACCTATGAAATGTTTTTGGTGAAATTTTAGTGAAAAAAATCACCGTCATTTTTGAGTTGAATGTACACAATTGGAGGCCTTTTACAAGAGAAATTACGTGACAAACCCCGGGTCAAGGTAGTCAACTCGCTCTCGTTGAAATTTAACAGAACCTGTCAAAAAAACAGAAGTGGATTTGAAATCCCCGCACTTTTGTGAACATTTTGATATAAAATACTTAAAAATCCGTCAAATTTAAGCACCGTCATTTTGGCATTCTTTACGGCGTATTCTACTTAAAATTGTGCACTCGCCTGACAAGGCGTCTATAGCATAAATCGACTGGAAAAGCTACGATTTTCGTGGCATATACAAGATGTTTTGTCACGCTGTTTTGATTATTATGAACTTGCTTCAGTTTGTATGGCTTTTTGTATCCCTCGAAACGATGGCAATGGTTCGAGTGGAGACCAATTTGAGACAAACTACAATTATTCGGAAAATACTGAAGCAAATTATTTTTAACGATGCGGACTAGTGAGGACAGTGAGCAGCATGAAGAACTCTTTGAATAGCGGTGAACGTTTTTCATTTTCCTACGCGTTTCGTCTCTTAAGGAAGACTTCTTCAGGGAATAAATTTGCACAACTGTTGACCAGTAATATTTAAGTTTTAAATGAAACCTTCTCTGGGGAAGTGACTAAACTCTTAAAATGCTGGTTTGGGACGTGAATAACAACGTCGTGAATATAATGTTATTGTGATTTTAAAAATAGATTTTTAGCGCTTACCKTATGTCCCCCCAAAACAACTTACTTACACAGATGAGCTAAAGTAGTGATACATTTAGAGCTATTAAACAATACACTATTTCAAATCTGGCAAATATTTCTCAATAACCCGCTATTTTATTGTGGCGTGACTGCAGTTAAATGTAGATTTGAATACATAAATTCTATCCTTGCGAGTTATGACTTCTCTGGAGAGCCATCAATGTTCATCTTACTAATCTTCGCTTTGTTATTCGATTTTCGAGATCTTAAAGGCTCTACTTTTACGTTAGATTTGTAAAAACCATGCGAATGCCAATGCCGACTTCTCTACGGTTGATACGACTCAATTAACAGTGTAGCGCGCACGCTCAAGCCTCTTTTTCGTGCCAAGAGAGAGCTTGGGACCGAAATGAGCAAATGTTCCAAATGTATGGACCATTTTCTCCGATGAAGTGGGTCATCATCGTTGATATTCATGGCCGATGTTATGTAATCATTGAGACTAGTTTAATTCTAGTGCAAACTGTATAAATTGTGATTATTTTGTCGAATGTCATTTACGGATATAACTGCGTGTATGATTTACCGCCTGAATGGGAAGAGTGCTGATAATCTTAGAAATAAATAACAATGATTAAAAAGCGCTTGCATAATTATGAAAAGTGGTGCTTGTCTGTCGTGGGGATGTTCTCTACTGGTCCACGTAACTGTTGCGATAACTTAATAGATCTTTGAAAAATACCACGTACTTTTCTCAGAAATTTATTTCAAAATTTAATCATGAACATGTGGTTAGTACAGTTTGTGTTTATTTTTGATTTTGATCAATGAATAAAAGTGTGTACTGGTTAAGTCGACAGGTGACTAACAAAGTAATTTTAACAGCGATATTTACTCAAAGATACCGACTTTTATGGTTTGTTTGTGTAGAAGCGACACCTTAGTAATAACACAACTGATACTAAGATACTGGATTTTGAAGGAAATTACCGGTTCTAGTTAATTTGCTAATTAAGGTGACCAATAATCTCATTTCACATTACAAATTACTAATCAGGACAAATACAACGTGATTTCTAAAAACATTAAGCAATACCATAACTGTTTAAATATTTTCTTCTGAATGTAATTGAAAGCATGAATATCTATTATTAGTGAAATCCGCTTAATTTTAATCTGAAAAGTTTCGTACCAATGCTGCATGCTTCCCGATGTATTTGCTTGTTCGAAGAACTACTATGGCCATCTAACCTTGAGGACATGTGTCTATACAGCAACTTTAAATAATGTTGTAATCAAGAGATTAGAAAGACCGAAAGGTACTGTGGGTAGTGATTGTCGGCAGGTGAGGTGATATCCATGGCAACATCGATCGTATCATGTGCTCTCCATTCAACAGCCTTTGAAATAACTGTACTTTTAAAAATAGAGAGGTCTTCCTATTCAATAACAAAAGCTCTTGCTTTGCGTTGTAGCAGTGCTAATAGTTGATAATATTAACGATGCGAGTTTATAATTCACGCTGTCTCCATCAGTGATTTGTCTTCTGCAATATCTACAAATCTTACACATTTAATGCAATTACAAGTTCAATGATTATTGGAGTTTGTTCAACTCTTTAAGAAAATGAAAAGTTATGTTTTTTAATAAAACTTTTCATTATTATTTGTTTATGCAGCAAACATGATAGAAAAACAAATTTGACACCTTAATTGTTGTATCGGAAATCATTCTAATTAACAAAACTCTGGTTTGATATTGGCGCAAATACAAGAAATACCTAGTCTCCTTTTAGTCCAAGCTCGCTCTGTCCTTCACTGAAGCGATTGATCATCTTGATTTGGATTAATGGTTAGAGGCTTTGGGAAAGTATAGGCAATTATGCAATGTATTTCGCTGAATCTTTTTGCAGGCATGAAAATTCTTTTCTGTTTAAGTTTAAGTTTATTATTGAATATATTCATTATTTTCTAAGATAAGAACCTCCCATTTGTATATCCTGAGGGCCGTGTACATTTTTCGAACCATATATGGAATTCGTCCTTTGACGTAGCCGGTCTTGTCCACACTATATTTTTCTCTATTGGGATCCCTTTGGTATCTCATGGCCGAACAAGACACGTGGGTCTCGTCAAGGGGGTGTGGTCATGTGAGGAAGACAGGGAGCCCAAGAGAACTGGGAAAAGTGAAAACGAAGAAAGACGTCTTCGGAGAAGGATCGACTTACGCAGCGGTCATCTTGAATTTGAAATATACTAAGTTTTCGTTAAGGAGCTTATTGTTATTTGTTGCGAAAGTGTTGTTGGATAAACATGACTCTCACTCGTCCCAGTCTTTCATGTTGACAACAACAGGAAGCCGGGAGTGAATCAACTGGGGACGAGGTCCATAGACAGAAATGAATATTCACTGAACACATTAGTTTCTGAATTGAATTGCATGAAAAAACACTGCACAATTAACAATCGATGAAGCTATTTTCAGCTATTTTCAAAAGGGTCTAAAGTAGACGTCTGTTCTTTATCGATATCAGAAAACCCATCTAATAGAAAAAAAAACTTGCTAAAAGCATGACCAAAATTAGCTGACATTCGAGTGGTTGAGCAAGGTTACCATAATGTCATTCAGATGACAGGAAGCCATAATTGAATGGAAGAAACATAGCATGAATGGATGAAATCAAACATGATTTAATGAATGAACTCGTTATTGGGAATGATCTTAGGCAACTAAATAAATTGATTGATCGACACAAGAAAATCTATTTTCAAAGATCAAAATTTTCCTATTTGTATCATCGCGTGAATTTCGCTAATAACATTGCTGGTTGTGGTGGTAAGAGTGGAAATTAAACTTTTAATAAATGATTGACAAGAGAAAATGAGTTACTTAGCTCATTTCTCTAGCTCATTTTCTCTTGATGATTGAGCAATGCATGCATGAATGAAAAAAATATTGTGTCATCAAAAATCAGACACTTAGGAAAATCAACGGTAAAAACATGCATGGAAAGGAAGCAAAAATGTGAATAAACAGAGAAGTAGACCATACGCTACTAGTTGTTTTAATTTCGCTCAAGCTTTCGCTGGGCACTAGCATCATCAGCATCATCAGCATGATCAGCATCATCATCATCATCATCATCTCCTGATGATACTGGTGTCCAGCGAAAGCTTGATCGAAATTAAAACAACTATCACAGTAGCGTATGGTCTACTTCTATGTTTATTCACACAAAACATGCTACTGAAGGACAACTTCACTATTTTCAAAAATGTGAATGCTTAAATTTAATTTAAATTCGATTAAAGAGTATTAATTGATAGATCCAGAATGCCAATCGGATTATCAGATATGTAACTGACGTCGTAGACGCTTTATGAATACTTTTTATGGTCGTCTGACGTAAGGCTCTTTTATATCTTAAAACTATTTGATAGCATTAATGTTGTGATCTTAGTTTTTTAAGTCCAGACATTAAGAACATTACTCCGCCATTCGATAGAATAAGCCTTTAAAAACAGGAAGAACGCTAAGTTATCTTTTCATTTACAACATTCAATGTGATCATAAGTTTATCATTGACACCATGATATCATCAATACTGCTATTTGCTGTGCCGACGGAGTCGTTTTGCCTGTGCGGTGTCGTCAGATTTATAGCGATCGGATTTTCCTGGAAATAAAGGACTTTGCCATATATGGTCTTTATTTTCTCAAAACATCGATAAATTGATGACAGGTACTAATCCAAGTGAGACAGAAGCTCTTAGAAATCATATAAGAGGTTTTTTAATCCCTTTTACCAACCTTTAGGCAAAAGGCTTTTAAACCTTTTGACTAGTACAAGCGATAAAATCTTTATAGCAAAGGAAAGCATTTCGCTATAYTAGAAGAAATAAACTGTTCTTGAATTGGAGCCGAATGCTTTCTGAAAAACACTGAGTCATTCATTGAAACATAAGTATACGTAAGGCTGATTGCGTTAATTTGATTTGTGTTATTAGACTTAAATACTTAGATTTAATACCGTCACATATGGTAAGCATAGCTCGAGGTATTTAGGACCTCTAATTTGGTCAAAACTAGATAAAAAGTTACGTAATGCTGAAACTTTTGAATCCTTTAAAAAACAAATCATATTTAATTGCTAGTACAAGTTGTATGGGTATTCATAGGGAGGGAATGAATGGTATTATATATTTTCTTTTTATATATTTATGTACTATAACTAGCTTAGATAGGTGTCCCCAATTAGCCTTACTATTGTAAGCTAGAGCAATCTATGACACATAAATAAAGTTTATTATTATTATTAAAGTTTATTATTATTAATTAAATCATCAGGGTATGAGGTAAGGGCGCTGGTGCACATGGCGGATATGAGATTATGAAGTAAAACTGCTTGTATGAAAATCTAGACTTTCCAAGTCAACATTAATATCTATTTTAACTTTTTATTTTAACTTTCACCTTTGAAAGCGCTTAGAGAAAGCTATAAAAGCGCTATATAAGTCATAAAGTTTTCCAATGAGTTTTTTGGTAAGAAACAAAAATGAACTTGTGTGGATGGGCGTCGATTTGCATCGCGCCCTCGAAGTTTGGATTTTCAAATTTGTGTTAATTATTTCTTCCGATAACATCAATGATTTCTGAGTTGCTTTGAAAATTTTCGATTACAGATCCCTTTTTAGCGCACCACAAATAGCCTTCTGAATGTTTACAGCAACCCCACCCCTCCCCTCCTTAAAGCAATACGGCTGTATTTTTTGTTGAACGGAATGACGTTGTTGACGGTGGTCGTTACAGTCTTAAGATGGGCGATATGATTGAAATATTGGAATGCCGCAGGTTTTTGCTGGAAGTTTGTAATTAATGTTAAGACGAAGATCAAATAGTTTCAGGGGTATAAATCAATTCTGATCGTACATTAACATTCATAAATTTATAATTAAACTCTTTAATAAATTTTCAGTATATTTTGTCGACCATGCGCTGAAATGACTGGAGCATATAGATTTAAAAATAAAAAATAAAATAGAATCTTAATATGTCTAAAGTGTATCGTGGCTCTTCGTCATGTCTTCGTTCTGGAAAAATAGAAGGGCACGTAAAGATAACTACATGAGATAATTTCACAATTATTTCGATTTAGTGTCATACAATTTGATGAAATAAAGCTTGATACTTGTTCACCATTGAATTAGAATTGATCTCTATTGATTGAATTTTTATTGGTTCATTTCCCTATAGTTCAATTATTGATATCATTTTGGAAAAGCGACGTGCTGCATCCCACATGGTTCAGTGGTTCTAGATTACGATTAGTATAATTCATCTTTATATAGTCGCCGGCTGCTTACTCTAGATTACTTGATAACTATGCTAAATCATTTTACAAGTTGGTCTTCAGCTTTTAAGATCTCTCAAGAACATTGGTTGTTTAATTCAAGACCCTAGACTCTACGGCTCCGGAGACACTAACATAAAAAACGCTTTTTTTTTTCTAACCTCGAGATATCTTGGTTGGGTAATGATCAATTCTACATTATAAGAATTTGCTAAAAGGATTTTTGCGACTTTCTAAGTTCTTGATATTAATTGGTTTTGCTTGATGCCTCTGTCCCTAAACATATAGCTACAATATAACGCGCTTTATCATTGGTCAATACTATTAGCTACAATATAACGCGCACTGTCATTGGTCAATATGATAGTAGTCTCCCCTTACAGCCGTTATGGAGAGACCCGGGAACGACTATATCAATGGCCAATAGTAGTCCGTAAAACAAAACGCATGGTATCATTGGGCAATGACTCACGCAATGATTGGCCAATATGAAACGCGTGATATCATTGGTAAATTCTTGGTACTAGGGCAGTACGAAAAAAAACATCGATCACGAAAAAAATCATTTTGTTGTTTCCATATAAAAAGCTATGTGATACAAATAATTTGTCGCTTTACCTGGTTCATGTGTTACGTTGAAAAGCGATTTTGTCTAACAATGAAATGGCGGTAATAATTCATAGTGCAGTAACCTATAAAGATTATTCGTTAATGACATCAAACTAAAAGAGCTCAAATAAAAAGCTTTTCCTTTCAATTAATCTAACTGACTTACCACTACCGCTCTCTAACTAGAAGAGCGGCAAACTAATTAATTGTACAACGACATTAAATAATAATGATTTCTAGTCTTCGATTTGCCTTTCAGTTTTAATGATATTTGCTTAAGAATAGCTTTTACATTTTTTGAAATCTTCATACTAAACGTCTTTCTGGGTTTGTTGATCAAGTCTTCAGCTTGAGTTGCTTACTCATGAAATCTACTGATCGTGAAGAACAACAATCGGGTCTTTTTTCGGGTTTGTTTTACTTACTCTTTTACTAACATTAATGAAAATCATTTTGATATACTCAGCTCAGTAGATGGACTTTCTGACTTTGATATAGCCTTTTGACAATCTAAAATAKTTTATACGACACACTACTTATTGCTTTAATTAAAACGAGTTGTAGATAATTTTCTAAAAGATGGCAAATAACACTTCAAAACACCCAATACTCTCCAAAACCCTTGAGACCAGAAATGGACACTTMAACAATATTGAGCTAGCGCTCGTTTTGTAGTGATCGTGATAATAAACCCRTGACTTTTCCTCCTTTTAATTTTTKTGCATTTTCTTTTTAGTCAAAAGAAGATCACTTAATAGTAAATTCCTGATTTCCAATCTTGATTTCAAGGCTAGTTTTCTGATGATAATGATTTTATCGATGACAAGGTTTTTATCACAACGGAACGTTTACATATCTAATGTAGTGGGAACATGGAAAACTATGGAGAAGGAAGACTAGGGAAAAACAATACAATCTGACCCCGAAAACATGATGGCACTTTCAGTTTGAAAGAAAGGTTAATGTAAAGCCTGCAGAGACAAAAACTGCAATACTTCCATTAATCGATGCAAGAAGTATGACTCCAAGATCGGTAAACATCCTTGGACTGAGGATTGACAAACCAACCTTATAGGCCCTATGATAATCAGGCCCCGGAGCTTTGAAAATCGTTCTATTTTCAAAAATAGTATAAATCATYTTGAATACATTTTTGAAATATCTGTCTATCACTAGATCAGACGGTAAACATGTGATAAGAGCCGCTTTCCTAAGGCTGCTCTCAAAGATACTATATCAAGAATCCCATTTTTTTCCAATTAACAACATCAAATTTAGATCCATATTTATCACTTTTAAAAAAAGGTCCATTAGTCATTATCAGTTTGAACTCCGAAGAAAARCGTCTTATGCAGCGTTTTTGGAAAAGGTTGAGAGAGAGAATGACTCGAAAAAAGCGCGAAAATAACGGTGTACGACACCCACAAGAGGTTGATAGTTCATTATTGTATATCAAAATTAAATCTTCGATGKTATTAACGCCATAGACGAATATTATCAAAACTATAGTTCATTCTGGTAAAATCCTTCCCCCCCGAGGCTGAACACATTTTTGAAATAGCTGTATCGATGCGAGTGGAAAAATCAGTTCCGATTGAAATGAATAGACCCCTTGCAGTTCGTGGGAATGCAACTCCAACTGGAGGACAAAACAATAGATTCTAATTCCCAAGAGGGCAAAAATCTTTTGTTTTGTCCTCCAGATGAAGCTGCTTTGACGTCACATGCAAGGGGTCTATTGAAGTGCATTAGGATGGAAATTGATTGCAGCAGGATTTATATATGCGTGGAGAAAGTGGTTTTGGTAAATAAATAACATGATGACCATACGAAATAACAAAGGAAAAATGAAAAAGTGTGATTAAAGTTTAATTTCTACTTTTACAGACTATACAACAGTTTTAATCAAAATTRTAWATATTGAGATATATAGCTCCATTTCTATCAATGGACTTATTTGGTGAGTGTACCCTTTACTGGACTCAAATTAATATCCGAACTTTTCCTCTTTGTCGTCTCACCTAGTAGTTTAATACATGATTTAAGTTTGATCCCTTGTTATTTGAGTGTACATCTTTGCTATTTACATTGACGTCTAGTTTTACTGAAAGCGGTATGGTTTTTTTTATTATAACTAACTAGTATGACCATTATATGATTCATTCAGATTGGAGTGAMAATAATATATTGCATAGTATGACGTCAATTGAATCGTCTAACTAGCCGCAGGATAGTCTACGGCCGTCTATCTCGCACTTGTTCAAGCTGTCAGTGAATTTTGCCAATCCTGTGTTGCAAGGATTCCATACACAAACTACGAGTTTCTTCGCTTACGTAAATGTTGGTAGTTTTTGGAATTGTTTGCTGTTTGGATCTGGTAATGGATCTCTTTAAACCATCTCGATAGTTTTTGTTTAGAATAAAATAAATCATTGGATTGATGGCTGAGTTTGAGTAGGCGATGAAGAGTACTGTGGACCTCACWGTGGTGAGTGTACATGTAATATCACCAGGTACTTGAAATCCCCATACAAAGCTATACGCGAAAACGAGTGAGTTATAAGGACCCCAGCATATTGCAAATGCAAGGATAACGGCTGATGCTAGTTTGATGACAGCCATGTTTGTCTTTTCACGACGCTTTCTTTGTTGTTCCAGTTCTTCACCAGTGACTTTTCKGCTACGCAGCTTGACTAGGATGAGAGAATACAAAACGAGAAGTACAATGAATGGGATTATCACAAACACTATGCATGCTGTTGCTGAAAATATGATGTGGGATTTCACTTTCCATGTAAATCCACACCGATACTGATCAGTTCCTGCAGGAATYAGCTTAAGASTGGCAACATATGGCGAAAAGAACACAATGGAGATCAACCAGGTTAGGATTAACAACACAATTCGGTAGGATTTTGAAATRAGTGCTGCTTTCATGGGGAAAGTGACAGCGTAAAAGCGATCAATGGTCATAAATACTAGGCTCAAGACACTGACAGCTGGCGTGATGTCCGCGATATAGTAAAAAAACTTGCACAGAAACTCGCCCAATGTACCATCGATTGCCCAAGCATCAGATGTGGTTATGATAAACAGTTTCCTTGGAATGACAACAATAGGGATGATTAAGTCTGATATSGACATGTTAACGATAAACCAATTCACMGTGGTTCTCATCTTCTTGTTCCGATAAATGACAAAAATGACGAGAATGTTACCCAAGAGAGAACCWAGGAACAGTATGGAATATGCCATCACATGTAGTATCACTGCTGCATTCGAAGCCACTGGACACACCAGGCTTGGAAGRGATGTAATGTTACTCGATTGATTCATCTTGRGTCGTTCAGTGACTTGACGGTTATAAGTAYAGCGTGAGAGTGCAGTAAATATCGAAGTGGATATAAATTTATATCTGCCGGGAGCGGTTACACAGTTCTGATATCACTTAGATTTTGTGATAGGCTCAACGTCCGCTTGTCATCTGACGTAAACAAGAAATCGCTACAGCCCCCGCGTACTCCTTCTGATTTCTTCTTTTTACGTATACTGACAAGTAAAAAACTCCAAGAGGATTTAAGTATCTGTCTTACACGTTCKCAACAGAATAACCAATTAAAAACCCATGTCGCCGAGCTTATGTCACGTTCCTAGACGCTTTGGAAGCGATCGAATTCTTGTTTACTATAAGACGTAGTTGAGTGGCTTTTAAGTGAGATGTTTTTGTACAATATAAAAAGAAATTAGAATTTCATAGCAGACTAACAAGAAGGTCTTTTTKAATGTTCTGATAGTAGCCGTGTCTTCACTCAACACTGTCAGATCAATGGCGACACTGCGATTTTTTTTTATGAAGGGCGTGGTTTGTCCAAATGTCTGCATTTAAATTTCCATAATGCAAAAAAAATTGAAATAAAATTTCCTGCCCCAACGTTAAGTGATTTTTAAAGATGATTTTGGACGGTTTGATAATAGAGATTGGTCGTGATAACCGAGAAAATTAAGAGCAACAAAGATGGCTGCAACAATTAAAACGACTCGAGAAAGGMAGTGTGGTCAGAAACTCTGTTCTATCAACGCTGTGGTTCTGGTTCGAATCCTTGTGTCCAGGACTATATGTGATTTGAGTTTGCAGWTAGTTTAGTTCTTGCTTCGAGGGTTTTTCTCCAGGTACGCTGGTTTAGATCCATCAACCAAACAGCCGTAACAGAGTTAGTAATGGCCGTAATGAGTTTTGCGTTTTACGACATTCAATGTCGAGATCAAGTGTCATGTGAGTGAGTGTGATGATGTAAAAATAGGTCGATTGGTGTATAGGTGAATATTTAATGTTTTTTATCTATCCCATCTTACCCTGAAGCGAAAACTGGCGACCTCGACCTTCACTTACYCTAAACCTTTTCATTTGWCGGCAAATTATAAAATTTCATGTAATTCGAGTTTAAACTGTAAAATTCCTAGTCGCCTATAGGTCTTTAGTARCGATAGTAGATGCATTTAGATGTGGAGATCGCAGGTTAAAAGTCCTGATAACGCGTTAAGGTGGCTTTATGTCAATAATTACGTGTATCTTTCTAGGTACAAAGGATAATGATGTCGTCAAAACTAGAAGAGTTTATTTTCCTGTCGGTAGTGAATAAGCCATGTCAAGAATAACCGGACATTCTAGTTACCGCGGTTATTTTAGATAATGAAGCCCTTTTTTGATCATTAGTTTCAAGTTACGTTGTTTGTGAAAGTAAGAATTCTAAAACAAAACTAAAACGAACCTAGCTCAACATGACGCATCTGTCAATTACTGTTTYTATCAGATGTCAGATGCAGACTAGAGGTTTTTACACTTTATTCATATGACTCCAGTCTTCCACAATTATTTTTAWACTGGAGAGCTTATTATTCCCATTTTTAATTGCCATCTAAAATCAGTCTGCTTAGGTATGGCAATACGCTGTACAAACGTCCACCGATTGGCACAAAATGTCTCTCTAGAAGTGTGCGATACTAAACTGTAGTATATAACGGCGTTTTTGTTGTTTGTCTTTTTTCCTCTTGGATCTTATAGGCCATCAACCGCAAGGTTGGTGACTAAAATGGATATTTTTATTTTCTCGGAATGATGTTTKGCTTATCGTGCACCTTTATGCGATTTTTCTGAACTGCCAAATCATAATAGCACATCTTTTTTGCATCATGGATATCTAAGAACTATCGAACACTCGCAAGAAAGGCGACTATACAACAAGTTAATGACGCTACTCAGCTTTACTTAATGATTCAAGTGTATTTATGTATTGTTCTCTAAGATATTACACTTTCGTGTCGTTGATACCAAAATTTATAACGAACAAGCAACTGACCGACACACAAGGCGTGGCGCGAAACAAAGTTTTTGCGAAACAAGAAGGMATTCGGGTCTTAAATGTGTTATATAGCGATCCAATGTCTGTATTTCCATTTAAATATTTCAATTCCAAGATAGTACTATTGTTATCGTTTAATTTTACACAGGTCTTTACACTTACCAAAACACCTCCGATTTTATTTGAGATGAATGGCTTTCAATAACTCAATGGGGCGCACACCACCGCCATACATTAAAGAATAAATTAAAAGACATTATTAGGTAATTGATTATGGGTTTGTTATTGCGAAACGTGGTCAGCAAAAGTGAATTATTCATGGTTGTTTATTGGTAGTCAATCAGAGAGATATTCAGGCGAAAATGGCTGACATGATCTAGTCCTTTTATCATCACTTTTGCAAGCCTCGTGGTGATTCCCTTATCATGATGAGTANCACAATCGCCACTGGCAATGAACCACACTGATCATTTAATACAACCATTAAAGTCGTTCTTGTGAAACTGATATGTTTTGATGAAGTTAAAGTGCTTAATCCTTCAGGGTATATACGGCAATAGATAAAGAAAATCCTCGATAAAACTGCTCTGTAATTAAGACTATAAAATCAATTTGAAGCTCTAAAAGCGGTATTGCGCTAAGACTGCTGTAAATGTGCGTTAAACATATTAGCACCACCTATACTACACCCACTGACCAGTCGTAAATGAACGATGAGATTGGCGATGRAGTTTCTCGGCCAGAGGCCATATTTTGAAATCGGTACGAGTTAGTGGGTGGGGTACATCGTTGACTGGGTTGATTTCTATTCAAATGTTTACCGTCATTTGTTATCCTTTTTCAGTTTAAACCATGCAGAAACAATGTTCCTCCTTTTTTTGCAGCAMATTTTGAAAAGAATCCCTTATCTCTAATTAATTCATATCGCGGGAAACAAGGGTAGGATTATAGGTTTAACTATACACATTGATGCTTGCATAATAATATAAAAACGACTTAAAAAAAGACTTACTCAGGATTCTCATCATACTTATCAAACTCATTATTTGGTGTATGCAAAATATAAAAATGAAATTGTAAACTGTTCCATGCCAGTGTTTTGAGTTATGTGTCCTGCCGTATTTCAGAGGTTCGATTTTTCATTTTGCTTCCATTGAGACAGAGTATATGTGGTATTCCTTGACGGTGATTATGATGCCAATATTTATTATTTTAACATTTCTTCATGGTATCGCCGTCCATAGGCACGTATTTTCTTATCAATCGTCACTTTTATTTAAGCTGAATGCTTTTAATGCACAACATTTAAATTTTGTATGAAGAGGAAAAGTTTCTTTTCTATGATTTATTCAATATGAAATACACAGAATTTTCTGTTCATTTCAAGTTTCAGTGGGAAGTAGTGGGAAGTGATATCCAGGATTGCAATTTTTTATCGGTATTATCCGGAGTCCCCACGACGATCGTCGACAACACGATCCCCTTCCGAGCAAAATGATTGTGACACGAAACCCATGYCCAGTATCGTGACAGTCGAACATGGCGGAGGAGGTAGGAGATTTCAGCTTACATAAAAGCATGATAACCAAACCAAACAGATGCCTTGACAACTTAAATTCGTGCTTCTGTTAAGCATATGATTTTTCCTCGATTTTATTGCAGAACAGCGCAGAAAAAGAAAATATTGCCGAAGCCAGGAAGCGATTTTTTGATGACTATGGTGAGATGGTGAACTTCATTAAATTTTCAGTTTATTATGAATGAAGTTTGATATTTAAGCGTCCTGCAGTATGATCATGTTTATTTTGTTTGATTTGTGTATTATTTATATTGCCCCGATGTAATTTTTAAAGTCTATTAGCGAGGTTTGAACTCCAAGAAGACTGCGCCGCCTTGCTGTTTGTTATTGTTTTGTGCATACAAGGTACTTGATCGCTCAGGATCGGTCAGCTGATAGGATCKGCTTTTGATCATTCAATTAGATGTATTCGCGTTGTACTAATCATTTTTTGTGCCGTTTGATTAAAGTGTTTTATAACATCCTTGGCTAAAACCAATAATTTTTCATATGACTTTATTTATAAGCTTACTTCAATGTGTTAATCTTATAACTTTTAAGTATACTTAAAAGTATATTGTGCACAAGAGGTGAAGCATGGTAGTGGCTTTCCAATAAAAGCTTAGAACAATAGAAAAAAACTAAATTCTCGGATTATCAGTTTATGTATTTGAAGTCTTGGAATCTCATCTAGTTTTTCCTCGATATAAGCTTACATCTCAAATTTCAATGTGAAAAACTTGTGCAAAAGTGAAAGAGGTTTTTGCATTGCATGTTTTTGCATTGCATGACAATATTTTTCATCCACTGTGTTTCCCTGGTGACAATGTAATMATTAGTACCAGAGTTCCAAGATAGCTCTGGGGGTCATTGGCAGATGTCAAATCACAGGAATCTGGAAAAATTGGATATGATAAAGTTTGATATATGTTGTGTTTGACATTGATATTTCAAAATTTAGCTGAAAACCTACATGATTACGATGAGAAGGATTTGAAAAGACTCCAGCATGATGACTTTTGGGCCAGATGTTTTACTAGAGCAAGAGGACAAAATATAGCCAAAGCTGTTGAGGCCATGGTGAGTATTTATAAGCACTAAGAATAAACGTTTACTGRTCAATTTACCAGCATTTCCAAATATTATGGCATATGAAAAATTATAGTTCATTTCATAAAGCAAAGTAACCAGTGCCGGCTCACTTTGTAAATTTATAACAGTTTTTGACTTTGCCCATGTCACACACTGGGCAATTTCTAGTCAGGTCAACTGCCAACATAGAGCAAAGACTGAGACTAGCTGACTTTCAATGGTTGAATGGTCAATTATATGAATATGATATCAATTCATAATTAGATAATAGGATGGCTACTAACTAAGTGAACTGATGGACAAAAGCTTTTCTTAATATTTTCTTAAYATTGAAATATATWTTTTATTTTKAATTTCAGAATATTTGTCTAACATGGAGAAAAACCTTTGGTCTGAATGGTGAGAATAATAAACTAACTTTTCACTTGTTTTCATATGATGTTGACTGAATTTCTCAATGGAATTTTGCAGAATTGACAGAGAGGCAAATTGACAGACGGCTGTTTGAAACMGGGTTTCTTTATCCACATAATCGAGACAAGGATGGCAATTCTATCAGTATGTACAAGTTCTATTTATTTTTTCTGAAAGTTAAAGGGGGCTATTAGTGGAATGCAAGATAAGTGAATGCAAATCAGTAAATTTACTSTTTTAAAGACATTCTACCTTTTTTTGTTTTTGTCATAGATAAATTTGCATTTTAAAACAATGTGAACAATAGGATTGATTGATAAATAATGTCACTTACTCACAATTTAAAAGCTTAAACTTGAAAGTTTCATTTATTTCCATCATAGTCTGCGAGCTTTAAAATAATGCAAATAAATAATCATGTAATAATATGAAAAGTGTAATCATGTTTTAGCTTTGACTGAATGTTTTGTAAATTTTCAATATCTTTTGTGCAGTTATTTTTACTGGGAAGATACACAAAAAAGACCCACAGCAGCATCCAGAACTAAAGAGATATTTAGTGTTTATGTTAGAAAAACACGTAAGTTGAAAAATTCTATGTACTTATTGACTGAGTGGGAGGGCTGTATATTTTATATTAAATATTTGGCTTGAGGTTATGCTGTACAGAACGAGTGCAGCGAGCATTTTATCATATGACAGCACTTTTTAAGCCAATTCTTTGATGAAAAGATCGACTAACTAAGCTGGGAAGATACAGGTTTGTATGGCCCTGTCRCGAAAAGGCGTACGGCCCCCATCACGTGACCATTTCCCAAAGGTTTTGTAAGAGCGCGCGTTGGGCCGAAATACGGGTCATATGATAAATCTTTTTTTCTCCTTTATTCTTATAAATATAAATTTTTAAGAAGAATTAATGGGCCTCTGTAGATAACTCCACCAATATTTTTTGTGAYTWTTTTTAAATGAGCATGTGACAGATGTTTTGGAATTCAATCTCACTAGTATGATGTTGTTATGTCACAGGCAAGAATGTATCCTGGCAGACAGATAACATTATTGTTTGACATGCAAGAAACAGGGCTTGCAAACATGGTAGGTTGCATACATTTGTTTCAAAGCATGGGTTGCCAATGTTCATAAAAGCAAAATTATGTTATCCTGAGTACTRGAGGTGAGGATGTACACTTTCTCATTTTATGKCTTGCATGAAGTAAGTTGTTTTGAATCTKCAAGATGGAAACRGCGACCCTCAGCCTCTTGTGGAACAGTTAGTAAATTCCACTTGCCATGCTAGCTTACACTTAAAGACTCTAAYTGCTACAGCTGATTGGTCCATTAGGAGCGATATGATGAGTTGATTGACAGTGCTAGTCATGTTCCAAGTTTTGTCTGGATTGGTTGGAATGTGTAGCAATGGTGGTAAAAGTGTTTCTTTGTATTTCAGGACATGGATTTTGTGAAATTCATCATAACCTGCTTCACAAATTATTTCCCTAACACACTTGGTATGTGCACATTAGAGTTATGGCTAAATTATTGAATTATTTACAAGAATTAATTATTTAATGAGTATTGTAGAGATATGATTTATATTGTGTGGTTAAAGCAATTAAAATATATAATATTTTTAATCTTGTAGCTTGGTTACTTGTTGTTGAGCTGCCATGGATTTTAACAGGTATCTCCAATTTCTTTTCAACTAAAAGAAAAATTTGTATATTATTATCGGTTATATTGGAAATAATATATTCCTTGGCCGCTATTGACTCCATTTTCTTTTTGCCAACTATCTACATTTCTTCCAATTCRCACTCTTATTTTATTTTTTCAATTCTATAGCTGCATGGAAGATAGTCAAGACCTGGCTTTCTCCAGAAGCAGTAAACAAAATAAAGTAAGAACARCACATTAACAACACAATAAAATAATGTTGTGATTGGCACAGCACTTCCCTTATATTGGAGGAGGAAAGAGGGGACTGGTAGAGGGAGAAGAAGAAAAAACCACTATGAATGTCCATATTTGTCTTACTTTATAAAATGTTATCATGTAAAATGTGTTAACTAATTAAGCTGTCTTGTGTATTTCAGATTTCTCCACAAATCCGATCTTATGGAGTACATTGAAGAAGATAACATATTAGAAAGACTTGGTGGAAAAGTGAGTATTGGAAAAAATCATAACAAGAAATACATAATATTAACCTAATTTATTTTCTCTTGGAMCATTGCTAGGACAGTTATCAATATAGTTATCCTCAAAGTCAAGAAGACATTGCTCTTGGTCCATCAGAAAGGTACTCCAGACCAATAAATTCATATTAATAATGAATGATAGAGAATCAATGACCAGAYCATACATCTACATATTGCTGTAATAATCATTTTTCTATGGTAGGGATGTCGATAGTCTGGATGCTGTTTACAATTCAATTGATCAAGTACCAGCAGTAAATGGGGAAGCAAAACCAAATTTGGATGAAGCAACTTCCGACTCTCCYAAAACAGCAAAGGTGGGGTGAATATGAATCAGCCTTTATTATGTGTCAAGCTACTTGCAAAAATGCAAAATAATTGACAAAAGTCAAAAAAATTCTCTTGTTGCAATAATGAATAGGCTTTCTCTCTAAATATATGTACGTGAAAGTTAGGCATCAGTTGTAGAATTTGAATTGCCACTTTTTCTGTTAATACTTATCATTATATATTTTACGCTTTTTTTTGCATGAAGCATGCAAGCTTTAGCAACCTAATCTCTGATGTACACTGAATTTCCTTCTCTCAGGTTACTTTTGATGAAGAAAATCTTGCTTATAATGCTTCAGCTAACAATTCTGTAGTGGATAACCACAGAAATGTAAGGACAGTAAAAGCAATCATTTAATTTAATGTCAGAAGATATGCAATTTGTTTCTTATTATATAACCAMATTGATCCGAAGCAAAAATGTTGTGTGTCAATTCTTCTTCATAATGAACGCGTCTTTAACTATTTTATTTGTTTACTTATTTGATATTCATTCGTTTTTACCTTCTATTTTTTTCATTCTCCACTTACCAACATCCCAGAGCTGGTAATTCGGGATACTGTTGTGCCATACTTCTGTTCACCATTTYATATYCTACCTTTGCATAATWCTATGTATTCAACCTGTCCAGCCCTTTAGTGTTCACCTCCAATACAAATACGTTTCCTGTTTGTATACCGGGTCATCCTTGTGTTAATCCTTGTTTCCCAGAAAGAAGATTCTGAGCAGCTATCTCCCAAAACAACCAGTCAATCAAAGACTTCGAGTCCTGTTGAAGAAAAGTCTCCATCAACAAAACTGTTGACTATATCGTAAGTAAGGACGTGTGTATTTAAGATAGTGTTGTAGCAATCAACTTAGTTAAGGTTGTAAGAAAACGTTTCCAATCCTTCAAGGTTTTCGTTTATTTTTGTACATGTAGACCTACAGAAGAGCTTATATTTGGAGGTACACCGAATGCAGCCGGTGAACTGCTACAAACMTTAACTCTTGATAATAATTCTTCWAAAACCGTGGCATTTAAGGTATGTTATTTTGTTTTCTGTCATTGCATTGCCCGTCTATTGTCTTTATGATTGTGTATTTATACTTTTATAAAGAAGTT